GTTCTATCCACTGAACCCTCTAGCTGCCCAAGAACTGCCATCCTCCTCACCCAGCTCCTTTGCAGACGTATAATGTTGGGAAATCAAGAAAAAGTGACAGATAGGTGATGTAGTGAATAGAATGCTGAGTTTGGAGTCAAGGAAACCTGAGTTGCTAATATAGACACTTACTAACTGTATGAGCCCTCCCACTAGATCCATAAATTGATGACCAAGCTGGGATTAAGACCTTTGGCAACCACACCTGATGAATGTGGCCCTGTGATTCAGGACTTGAAAGCAAGGGTAGTGGGATCTTGACTTTCTGTCTCAGCAATAGGGAATTCTTTTTCCCCTAAGACGCATGGGAGCTGATCAAAGCTGTGACTAGGGCCTTGGCTACTGCTATTAGGACCAGGTGTGAACCACCTGCCTCAGCAACAAGGAATCCCTCCTTCCTGTGGTCAAGGCAAAAGCCAGAGCCCTCCAGGCACTGCAAGTGGCAACATCAGTAGTACTGCCACTTCCAAAACAGTAACAACATGAGGATTCTCCTGACCTCATTAGTAAATGAGATTGTCTGACAAGCTGAGACACTCCAGTAGGACCAAGTGATGCTCTGAAGTCCATAAATTCTTGAATGGCCAGCTGCAGGCCACAAATGATGGCCTTACTCATCAGTGTTGACTAGACAACTCAAGGAATCAAAAATCCCTTCTGACATACGGCCATGGAATTGTTCTCCAGAGGTTCTCAGGTTAGGAGTGCAGCTATTAATGATTTGCTTTCCACAAATGTTGGCCCAATGAAGAGAGTCTGGGTCCTGGCTCAGAAGTCTTGGGAAGTTTGTATTTGGGATTGAATAATCTAGCTTGATGTATGGGAGCTCAGATGCCCAGGAAAGCCTCGTCTGTTCTTAGTTAATTCTCCTAGAACAATGCCAGATATTTGGTTTGGAATATGGAATTAATAGATTTTTCAAATCTTTTGTGACCATAAAGATGTACTAGGCACAAAATTTTAGAAAAGGATGTAATTGTAGTACATGACAAGATTTGTGGGATTCAACAAATAATAACAAGTAGATTCTCCATGGGCAGGTAGGTGGTGAAGTGGATAGAGTGCAGGACCTGAAGTCAGGAAGACCTGACTTCAGATACGGGCTCAGATACTAGCTGTGTGATCCTGAACAAGTCACTTAAACCTGTTTGCCTCAGTTTCCTCATCTGCAAAATGAACTAGAGAAGGAAATGGCAAACCATTCCAGTATCTTTGCCGAGAAAACCCCAAGTGGGGTCACAAAGAGTCAGACATGACTGTAATAACTGAACAACAACAAAAGATTCTCCATCTCCAGATGAGAGTTATGACTATATTTGAAGAATCAGTGTATGGATTCAGAATATTTGTTCTAAAATAACTATAACTAAAGGACTAGACTATCTACTAGGCAGCTGAGTAAAATTCTGAATGCCTTTAAAGAGATCCACTTTGATCCCAGATAGCTTTGCTAATCTTCATAGACTTCTGACTAATGTTCAGGAGATTAAAGGGCTGGCAGTAAACTCAAGTATGTTTGAATACTGGGTTTTATCTCCACCCACAGCATCGTTTTCTGTACCCCAATTCGAAGTAATGCTCTCAACTGTATTATGTCACTAGGTGTACTGTAATAATATGCAGAATAATTTTTGTCATTTTACTGTCTTGCTGTATTAAAGGCAAATCACAGAGGACTATATATTTTGACTCAACTAGAGAAATATATTTTGCTGCTGATTAGAAGGTATGAAACTGAGGTCCTATAATGAATAAACATAGATTATGCTTAAAATAACTATATAAGATGCACAAAATGGGGGAATTATGGAAGTATATTAAAAATCATTTTTAGTTCAACTGAAAATATTTTTTTTAAAAAATGCTTTTTCTAGTTAGAAGCCCTTTGCAGATTTTTTTTTCCCCTTTAGAAAGGTGGTTGGATATGACCAAAGGGCTATAAAATTGTGCATACCCTTTGACTCAGCAATACCACTTCTAGGTCTGTATCCCAAAGAGATCATAAAAATGGGGAAAGGACCCACATGTACAAATATATTTATAGCAGCTTTTTTTGTGGTGGTCAAGAATTGGAAATTGAGGGGATGCCCATCAATTGAGGAATGGCTGAACAAGTTGTGGTATATGTATGTAATGGAATATTGTTGTGCTATAAGAAATGATGAGCAGGCAGACTTCAGAAAAACCTGGAAAGACTTGTATGGACTGCTGCTGAGTGAAGTGAGCAGAACCAGGAGAATGTTGTACACAGTAACAGCCACATTGTGCGATGACCAATATTGATAGATTTAGCCCTTCTCAGCAATGCAAGGATCTAAGACATCTCCAAAGGTCTCATGATGGAAAATGCTATCCACATTCAAAGAAAGAACTATGGAGTTTGAATGCAGATCGAAGCATACTCTTTGCTTTTTTTTTCTTCTGTTTTGTTTTGTTTTCTCTTTCTTGTGGTTCCTCCTATTGGTACTAATTCTTCCTTACAATACCACTAATATGAAAATATGTTTAATAGGAATGTATGTGTATAACCTATATCAGATTTTGAGCAGTCTTGGAGAGGGAGGTGAGGAGGGAGTGGGAGAAAAATTTAAAACTCAAAAGCTTATGGAAGTGATTGTTGATAAATCAAAATAAATTAATAAAAGCAGTTGGTTTAATGAAAAATAAATAAATCAAGCCCTTTAAGAGCTGAAAAAAAAATGTCCTCACTTTACTGAAAAAAAAAAGAAAAGAGTGATAATCAAACTTGTCTAGATGAGATCGTTGCCTCCCCACCCTCTGAATCTATGGCACTATGACTCCATCCTTCTCCATTCAGAAAAGATTGCCAGTACTGATATTGATCATAGGAAGGAGAGCCTTGCAATCCTTGATGACAGTGGTCAAGGGAGGAATTGAGTAGTGACTATTCTGGAATATTAATGGGTTTTTTCCCCTTTTTTCAAGGTTATAATTGTTACCTCAAATCATCTTGAGGAAGGGAAAGTCATATCCCAGAGCATAAGGTGGGGAGACTAGCCAGTATGGCCATCTCTTTCTAAGCTAGAAATGGCTTAGGGGGTTTTGTCAGTCAAATAGTACTGTTTATTGGAGGCAGGGAGGATAGCTGTTTGTACAGACAGGGGAAGCAGGCTGTGCAGTAGGATTCCCTTCTCCTTACCTAGGAGCTGTCCTCTTTGTAGTGTAAGTTAATAATACTTTCCTAAACCATGGGATGGGTTTCTATTTCTAAGGCACTGGAGATGAAGAAATCAGCTGGGTTGTGCTCTATCTAAAATTGTTTCTGGCAGACTTATGCTGACAACACAAAGTACAATAAAAAATTCTGGACAATATTAAATGTTTCAGTATCAACTTGGAAGGAGGTCTCTAGTGGAGCGTCCCAAAGATCGGTGCTTGGGCCAATGGTGTTTTACGTTTTTATCAATGACTTAAGTAAAGCATAGTGGGCATGCTTATCCAACCTGCAGAAGACAAAACCCATCAAGAATAGCTAACATACTGGATGTCAGAGACAAAAAGATCTCAACAGACTAGAATGTTGGGCTGAATCTAATAAAATGAAATTCAATGGTTCAAAAAAAATCAACTTCATAAGTTCAAAATAAAAAAATGGAAATGTGATTAGATGCAAAAAGATCGGTAAAAAAAAGATCTAATTTCGTAGCAGATTACAAACTCAATATGGATCAGCGATTCGGGGTGGTGAACAAAAAAGCTAATTTGATCTTGAGCTGTACTAAGTGAAGTACATGGCTTCTAGCAATAAAGAAGTGATAATCACTCTATACTTTGATGTCTGAAGTATTATATTCTATTCTGAGTACCATAGTTTAGGAAGGTCACTGATAAGCTTGAAGAGTCCTTGTTAGGGTAACCAGTATAGGTTCTTGAGGTCTTGTCACATAAAATTCTACGGCAGGAACTGGAGATGTTTAGAGAATATAACTTAAGAGGAGCCTAACCGCTCTCTTGACCAGGATCCAGCTTGATTTCCTGAAAGGGGCACTATGGGAGTGGGAGGAACCAAAGCCTCAACCACAGAGGGCTAGGCTCCTAGATGTCAGACACTGATATAAACATTAATACAGCATGATGAGGAAATGCTCCAGGCAAGAGGGAAGAAAAGGAGGTTGGAGTTCCAGTAGGTAGTGAGGTTACAGCAAAACTCCTTCCTTAGCCTCAGTTTCCCCACTCAAAACAATAGCGAGAATAGCTCCTGGGGTGGGAGTTGGGGGTGGGCAGGATGACCTGCAATGAATGGTCTGGGTTAAGCAACCTCCTAATGCCCGGTGATGAAAGAGGCAAGTCCACAGCTGCTGCTTTCCCTACTTTTAAATGGATAAGGAAATAACTTTCTAGGAGAACCTGAAATCATTTACATAGTGTCCAATTTGCCATCTTTGGCAGCTAGAGACCCCTCGTGATTTCCTCTCTTTTTCGTCCTCTCTTCTCCAAACGGGATCTCAAGTAACGAGTTAGGAATGCTGGGCGGGGGCGATATGGGAAATCACACCTGGACCGGCTGTGACCTGGGTTTTCACGCCTCTTCCTCCTTAGTTCTCTGTTTCACCGTCTATGGGAACTCCAGGGGGATGCAAAGTGTGTATATGACTGGGGGTGGGAAGGGGGAGGTTCATGGATCCGGCTCCCACAAAGCCCAAGGAATCAGCTTTCCCTCCAGGACCTCAGGGAGAAAGGTGGGAAGCCCTAGGGAGCGGCTGTTGAGTGTAGAGCAGCCACGAGAGGGCGCGGGGCTGCGGTACGACTTGAGGGTGGACAACCCCTGAAGTCCCAGGAGCGCCCCACCCCGGCCAGTCTGCGCGGGGGCGTGGGGGTCTAGGACAATGAGGTCGACTGGGAAGAGCCCGGAAGGGCTGGAGGGATGGAGGGAGGGGGAACCGGCTGGGCTGGAGAGCCAAAGGGCAGTGGCAGGGGCGGGGCCAGCGGCGCAAGAGTTAATGTCCGGCCCCGCCTCGACCTGGTGGCCGCTGACTCAGTTTCACCTGAAACTCTGCGGGAGGCGGCGGCCTCGGTCCGTAGGGCTCACGGTCTGGGAAGGACTAGGCAGCCACCGGAGCCTCTCCTGGGGCACCGGGAACAGCCCCGCCCCGCGCCATTTACCTGCGCAGGTAACTAAGGGAGGTTCGCGACCAAGAGGGAGTCAGGGCGGGCTGCAGGAACAAGTCTGGCCCTTTGTTTGGGCTCAGCTTTTCCTGTTTAGTGGCGCGCTCATTCTTCTTAGTTTGACTTTTTCACTGGGGAGGGGGAGTTTCTGTATTTCCTTACTGACCCGACGTGTCCGGGAACCCCCGTATGCACATCTCTGTGTACCCTTATTTGTCCCAGATCCTCCCCCCCTTTCACTTCTGCCCTCCCTTCCTCTAAGGTCCTCTCCCTTGTTGATCAGGTATGTCACCTTTTCTCCTCCCCTCCTTTCCCCGCCCTACAGGTTCCAAACACCTTCGGAACACAGAGCTACCCTAGAAAGGCTAACCTTCTTGGGAGGAAGGTGATCCTCCCCAGGAGGAAGATGACCCCCAGCTACTGCCCCGAGGCCTGGATCACGACTGCCCTGTGGCTCCTGGTGACGTCCAACCTTCTAGACACAGTGACTGGGCAGCCACCTGTGCCCCCTGGGAAACTGACTGGTCCCATGTGTTTGGATCAGTTTACAGTTGGGGTACCAGACTTTGTACTGGACTTAGACGCCTCCGTTAGCAATGGGGCTACTTTCTTGGGTTCTCCAGTCGTGCGCAGGGGCTGGGATTGCGCCCGTGCCTGCTGCACCACCCCATCCTGCAACCTGGCCCTGGTGGAACAGCAGCCAGGTGGGGATGAGGACGCCATCAAAGCCTGCTTCCTTCTCAATTGTCTGTATGAGAATACTTTTATCTGCAAGTTCTCCAGAAAGGAGGGTTTCCTTAACTACCTTACCTGGGATGTATACCGATCCTACCGACAGCTGAGGAAACAAGGCTTCAGAGGTAAATTGGGAAAAAAGGGAGGAAAAGGGAAGACCTAGATTGGAGCATCCCACCCCAATCCCACCCCCACCCCCCGAAATAGAGGGAGAATATTTCTGAAGACCGAATTATTGGAGGTGGGAACACAGAAAAACTTTGAAGCAGTGAGCGGCTGTAAAGTTCAGAAGAGAAAGTGGAGAATTCTCTAGGGAATCCAGGGTAAGGAAGGGAGATTCCACCAGGGGAGAAGGTGGGAGAGGAACCAGATAGGAGTCTGGTTAATGGACTGGTGTTCAAAGATGAGATACTTGCCTTGGGAGAGTGGAAAGAGAAGGGTTTAGTTTTGCCTCCATCACTTAGTAGCTGTACATTACCTTGGGCAAAGCATTTAACCAAACTGGACCTCAGTTTCTTCTTTTGTCAAATGGAAATGATAATATCTGTACTTACCTCACCAGGGTGTTGTAAGGATGGAATGTGATAGGGTGTGAAATTGTTTTGTAAATTCTAAAGTGCTGCATATATGATAGTCCTGAATCCTAAATGACCCTTTCATTGAGTTGAAATGGTTTTAGGGCCAGCCCTTTCCTTAAGTTTAAACAAGTGAGTACTCCCCAATCCAGTTTTAGGACAGTGAAAGGAACATTGTATGTTGAGTTAAAACACTGTATTTTCAGGGCAACTAGGTGGCACAGGAGATAGAGCACCACTCTATCAGTGGTCATCAGTGGTCTATCAGGAGTCAAGAGGGCCTTAGTTCAAATTTGGCCTCAGACACATAACACTCACTAGCTGTGTGATTCTGGACAAGTCACTTAACCCCAATTGCCTCACAAAACAAAACAAAACAAAACACTGAAATTTCCTGATTCAGGCCAATCTAACAAACATTTATTAAGTGTCTGCAGTATGTGAAGTGTTGAAAAAGACAAAGAAACAGCCCCTGTACTTAAGGAGCTTACGTTTTGCTGATGTCATGCAGTGTATGGTACTGGTGCCATATCCGTATAAGGTCATTGCTCCAGCGCTAGAGGGTTCCTCCAAGGCCATCTAATCTATTTACTGTTTAATCTTTTTTTTTTAAGGCAGTCAGGGTTAAGTGACTTGCCCAGAGTCACACAGCTAGTAAGTGTGTGAGGCCAGATTTAAACTCATGAAGATGAGTCTTCCTGATTCCAAGTCTAGCTCTCTATGCACTGCACCACCTAGCTGCCCCTACAGGCCATCTATCTAACTGACTTCATTTTGCAGATGAAGAAACTGAAGTCTAGTGAGTGTAAGTGACTTGCCCAGTAATGTCCCATTACATTCTCCCAGAAACAGCTAGGCTAGGGGAGTGCCCTAAGCCAGATCCTATAAGCCTGGAGCCAAATGCTGTCAGCTTCATGGTATTCCAGCCTGAGTGTTTTCTAGGTTGCATTGCACTCAAACTATGTGGGATCTGGTTCTGTCCTGTATATATCTCATGGAGAGGGGCTGTTCTCATAGACAGCTAGACTTAGATACTGAAGGGTCATAGGATTACAGGATCAAAGAAACAGAGCTGAAAGGATTTATGAGGCCACATAGTCCAACCTCCAGTTTTACAAATGAGAAAACAGGCCCAGGGAGATTAAATGCTCAAAATCACAGAAGTGGTATCAGAGATGAGATCCCTGTATTTGATTGCTGTGGTTTCTGTATGGTGGCTTAGGGAAACTCCCAGGGGCCTTATCCAATGTGAATTCCAGACATTCAAATACTTCTGATGGGAGCAAAACTGATCAGAGTCTTCTGGGATCTCTGAGGATAAGGAATCTCAAGTTTTCCAGAATGAACCTGACTGAGACCCTGGTTAACCTTTGTTTATTTCTGGGGATGAAGTCAAGCCCACAGATCCAGCCCACCTTCCCTCCTGGCTCTGAGCTGGCAGCCAGGGGAACCAGTCTGGGGATTAGGGGCCCTGCACAGATTTCTGGTTCATTGTCAACCCCACCCTGCTTCTTGGACATCTGTGGAAAGAGAACCCAGCACCTACCTACCCATCTCCCTTCTCTCTCCTGCCTGCCTCTTCCACAATCTTACTATCACATCCAGTATGACTAGCCTATCCAGGAACTAGCAAGTCTCGAAATAGCAATGATATGGGAATTGGACCTGAGGCCCAGTCTGGAGGTGATGCCACCAATCTAGAACTGGAGAAAAGTGGCTTCTGTTGATTCTTCCATGCCTAGGATGCTCTCTATCCTCGCCTCTGTCTCTTGGAACTCTTCTCTTCAAGTTTCAACCCAAGTGCTACTTCCTATAAGATGTGTTTCTTCTTAGCCTCCCCCACCCCATGACTTTGTTTATTTTGTATATAGGTTATATTTCCAGTATCAACATACTTGTTTCCTACTGGTGGAATGTAAGTTGCTTGAGGGCAAGAAACAGTCCCTACCATCAAGTAGCTTACATTAAGTGAGGGGGAGGAGAGGAGAAACATGTATACAAATGAGTAGATGAGAGGCAAGTGTAGTAAATAGAGACCTGGCCCAAAAGCCGGGAAGACTCGGTTTCAATTACTGGACCTTTGGTACATGCTGATTATGTGACCCTAGGTGAATCACTTAACCTCTGACTAGACTTTCCTCTTCTAGGAATTCTATATTCCAATCAAGTCACAGGTCTAATCTCTGTTCCTTATGAGTTAAAAGAATATATACAAAGTAATTGGAGTTAATCTGAAAGGAATCAAGAAAAGCCTTCTATAGGTGGTGATATTTGAGCTAAACCCTAACAAAGGTTAGGAATTTTAAGATACATCTTGTAAGGGTTGAAGAGGAATTGAGTTCCAGGCCTGGGGGAACAGCCTGTGCTGAGTCAGGGAGACAAGAAGTAAAATGTCCTGAGTGAGAGACAGCAAGAAGGCCAGATGGTCTGTGATATAGAATTTGTGAAGCAGGGTAATTTGTAATAAATCTGGAAAGGCAAGCTATAGCCTGATTCTGAAGAGCTTTGAATAACAAACAGGAGTTTTGTTTTGATCATTTAGGCTAAAGATAACTTACTAGAGTTTCTTGAATAGGAGAGTAACATGGTCAGACCTGTGCTTTAGCATATGCCTTGGACTGTGATTTGGAGATGAGAGAGACCAAAATACTGCAAACTGATTAAAACGGCTAGCATGGTACCTGCCACAGAATGTGCACCTTATAAATTCCCGTTGGCATTTTTCTCCCTCTCAAGCTAGGCCCCTTATATTTCTTTTTTTATTCCATTTTAATTTTTTCAATTAAAAAAATCTGTTTTCCCTCACTCACAATTCCCCTTAGATTAAAAAAATAATAATAAAGAAAAGGGAAAAAAAGCTTTGTAAGAAATATTCTTAGTCAAGCAAAACAAATTCCTTCATTGGCCTGGTCCAAATTGGGTGTGTGTGTGTGTGTGTATACATATGTACTTATACATATCTACATATATACATACACACACACACACACACACATATCAGTCTGTACCCTGAGTCCACTGAATCTCTCTTAGGCAGCGGGTATGTGTTTCATAGCTGGTCCTCTGGAATCATGATTGTTCATTTCACTGATCCAAGTTCATATGGTTTTCAAAGTTGTTTGTCAGCCCCCTTGTCTACTCCCGCTCCTCCCTTTCTGCCATTCCTGATGACCCTCTGAGGATCCAAGGAAAGCCTGAGGATGGATGCCTCTCTTCTGGAGCCAGGCTAACTCCCCAGGTCCCGTTGGACTAGAGACTAAGCCTGTTCCACAAGGAAGTGGCAGGTCAGGTGTGTGCTAATTGACTGTCATTGGCCCCACCATTGACTGTGCACTTCCTGTCCTTCCTTGCAGATTTTCTACCAGGAACCATTTGACTATCATAGGAAACCCCCAAGGACCAGACAGCTCCTAGGACTGGGTGACCTGAGGAATCAGTAGATATGGATAGACTCTTGGGGTCCTTTCTTCCTCTTTGGGAAAGTCTCAGAACCCTCCTCTACCATCCAGGCAGGAATATTAGAGTCTGGAGGAAGATTCTTTGGGGCATTAGAGAACAGAACAGAATAGACTGAGTGAGAATCCAGTTATTGTATATCTTAAGGGGCTGGGTTAAGTAATTATAGCATCCCTCTATAAGATATAAGAGCCCTTGGGTGGGAAGAACCTAGCTCCAAGCATCTAGAGGAAAGAACTCTTCATTCCTCCGGATGGGGAGGAAAATTCCCCCTCCTAGCAGGTTTATAAAGTTTTCTTCCTTTTCCCTGCCTGCAGCCAGACCAGATTTCAGAAAGGAAAGGGAGGGGTTTGTATTCTGTCTCCTCCTTTCTCACCCTCTCCCCTTCCCTTTCTTTTCTGCTCTTCCTACTCTTGCCTTTCTGGTGAATGGAATCAGGAGGTGGGGCCTATGGTTACTATGGAAACATCCTGAGAACTGAGCTTCTGGGAGGAGGGACCCATTTATTGTCAGGCTATTTAGTCCTTTTGCTCTCCGGGTGGGGGGTGGGAAGGAGAAGGAAAAGGTGAACAGGAACGAGAACAGAAATCCAAAGACTGGGAGTTCTCCCATCAGCCTCCAAATATGGTGATAAAGGAAGGTTCTTTAGGTTATGTGCCACAATGCCCCTCTCTGACCTGCTTCTATCTCTGGGGTCCCTGACTGCGATGGAAATTATTTTGAATCTGAGATGTAGTTCTTTCCCTTGAGTTTTTCTTACCTGTGCAATGGAGGCGATATTACTGACTACTCTGTTCTTGCCTTGGAATGTTTTGTAGTGGGGTAGTGGTGTATATAGGTAGTGGGGGTGGGATGCCTTCAAGGATGGTTTTGGGATCACAGGAGAAAACAACCCAGATGTCCTAGCACCCTACTCTTACAGGATTACTGGGACTTTGCTCCATTCACGGTCTTCATCCAAAGGTGTGTGCAATAGGGCTGTCCATCTGGGGCAGACAGTGAATAAGAGAAATACATACAAAGTGCTTTTGAGATCTGTGGAGGCAAAATGTCACTTGACTGACCTGACTGTGTAAACAAAGGCACAATACAAT